TGTGGCAGCTGCCAGCCAGCAGTGTGGGCACAGCGGGAAGGAGTGAGTCCGGTACAGCTGACAAGGTAAATCTCTCAGGCTGCAGCCTGTCCAGCTCCCTGCTGTGTGCTCCTGGAGCTTTGCCTGCTGGGCAGGGCAGGGCAGGGCTGGCACCGCTGCACGCAGCCTCACCTGGGAGCCAGCGGGTCAGCCGGGCTGCACAATAAATAGGGAAGGCAGGAGCACCTGTGCCATCCTCTGTGGGCACAGGGCTGGCTGAACCTGGGCTCCACCTGCCAGCAGGGAGGGATAAAGTGCTTTCTCAGAAGGGCTTCAGGCACAAACAGGGGCTGCCCTATTTCCGGAAGGGCGTCAGCCTGCTGATGTTCTGCCAGAAGTTCGAGGGCTTGCGCTTGGGCTCTGCCAGCATGAAGACCTGCTGCTGGGGGAGCGTGCTGGGCAGCGTGGGGTGCTTCTGCCGCAGCAGGAACTCATAGTAGGGCCTGGTGACGGCTGCCAGGAGGAGGAGGAGAGGGGAAGATGTTAGTGTTTTGTGGAGACAAACAAAACTCCACAGCTTTGTGCAAGTTGTAAAGCCGGGATGTTTATTACAGCTCTGAACACATGTGGAGATTCCTCTCTAAAAGACATGCACACCTCTGGGAACTCTAGGGTTTTTTCTCTCTCTCTCAAATCCATATGTATGCAATTTCACAATAGGTTCATACATATTCATTTTTACGAATTTTGTGTGACATTTGCCAATAATTCTTCTTTCTCAGAAAGACTTCCTAGGTCAGGCTGACCTGCTCTCACAGCAGTCTCTGTCTCTCTGTCTCCCCCCTTAGCTCTGTCCTTGGGCTGAAGCACAGCCTTTCTCTGAACACAGGCTTTCTACGAGAACAGGCAGTCAGGCTAAGTAGGAATGTTTTCAAGCTACAGACTTAACTCAAAGATGTACATTTCACCTCAATCAAAATGGATTTCTACTCTGGAAAATTTCTACTCTGTCTCATTAGTCAAACACAGCTCCTTGCCCCAACTCTACCACCTCCCCCAGTCCCCAGTAAAGCTGCAGGGCTGTGAATTGGGTTTGTCTTAGTGTACCTATTCCTTCAAGTTATCCTTACTTTCAGCAATGCCTTTTAGGATTAGAGCTCATGTGGAAGGCCCAGAAATGTCCTGCATGACAGCAGGGCTGGAGAGCTGCAGCTCCTGGCTGGTGACAAACTGAGCTGGTGCTTTTGGCTGTGCTGGGAGAAGCAGCTGCTGTGCAAGTGCTGCTGGTGCCTGTTACAGCCTCCTGGGCTGGGTTTCTGACTAGGAATGGTCAGTGCCTGCATGGAGAACAAGGCTGGTCTGTGCTGCCTCCCGAGGGCTTTGCTCTGTTGGCATGGTCTGGCTTCCTTCCAAACTTCCCACTGTTTGCAGTCAAATCTTATTTCTGGCCCTTTTTGACATGTAGCCAAGCTTGCTTTCAGGAGATGTGGCTGGGCTTTAAGTGCTGGCTGTACCACCAAGGGGAAGTGGTTTTCCCTGTGGGTTCAGAGGAACCAAGTGCCACCTCTCCCTCTGAGCAGAGGGAAGGGGAAGGTGCCAGCAGCAGGGCTGTCTTCAGCCACAGTGCTGTGGGCACAGGAGCCTTTATTTTGCTTGACTTCACTCTCCCCTGGCTGCTACTAATTGTCCTTGTCTCTGGCAGGTTGAACCAAGAGCTCTGCCCAAGCACGGTCCCTACCCTGGCATCCTGCCCAGGTTTCAGAGCATCTTCCACAGGCAGGAACAGCCCCTGCTGCAGAGACCTCGGTGGCCCTCTGTGCACCATGGGGATTGCTCCAAACCTTGCCTTTTGCCAAAGGGAATGGCACACTGCTGGGGAAGCCTGGATCCTAGGGAGAGGCTGTGCACTGGCCGTGGAGCAGGAGCTGCTGGGTTTGGCAGAGTGCTGCTTATGTGCAAAGTGGCTCTTCTGGAGTTAGGAATGATCTCCTGACTCCAGCCCTCTGAATCTACCAGGAACTGTAGTGCAAATTGTCACCATCTGGCCTTCTCAAGAGTTTCTTAATGTCACTTCATTGAAGCCTTTCCCATGTAGTAAATACAGAGCCACCCCCCATTCCCACAGTGCTCCTGTGCTCAGGTGTGACTCACCCTTGGGTTTCCCAGCATGATGCTGCTTGCTGGCATTCAGCATTGCCTGCTTTTTCTGCACCTCCGTGATGGAAAACCCTGGAAGATGAAGCAGATTCATGTCAGCAGCAGGTCATCATTTGGCACCTCAGGAGAAGACAGGGGTGGGCAGATGCCTGAGGTGAGAGGCCACAATTGCTGCCAAGGCTGGGGGGCACAGCCTGCCCCCCCAGCCTGTGCTGGGCTGCACAGACCCCCCTGCAGGGTTTGCTGCCTGCCCTTGGCCCAGGCTGCACTGGGGGGAGAAGCCACTGCAGGCCACTGGTGGCTGAGATCTTTCAGATCACACCAGGCTGAATTGAGAAGGATTTGGACAAAACAACACAAACCCTCTTGGACAGGGAGAAGCCTTGACTGAAGCTGTTCTATACTGCTCTGGACCCTGTATGTAATGTATTGACTACTTTGTCAGCCCTCCTTGAACTCCTGAAGATACATCAGCCTCCCTGAGGACAAACTGCAGTGATGGCTTATGGTGGTTTGCAGTTTTTTGATTGCACAGATTCATTCACAATGTGTCATTCAGCAGCCCAGAGCTGCCCTCGAGCATGGGCTGGCTTCCCCACGCTTTCACTCCTCAGGTATTAGCCAATGGGTAAAAAAAGATGAAAAACCAAAAATAATAATAATGATTTAAATCCAAAACCGTCTCCCAGCCTTGCTCTTTCCATACCCGTCTCCTGGTCGAGCTGCACCTGCCTCCTTTCATTCTCAAACGCCTTCAGCCAGCGCTGTTTCTGCTCAGGCTTTTTTGCACAGAACAAATGGACTTCCTCAGTGTCTCTGCAGTGCAGCTTGAATGCATTTTTCACACTGATATTGAAGTCCTTGTCTTTGCCATCTTCCACATCCAGTATTTCCATGTCATCCATGCTGATGCGACTCTTGTAGTACAGGATGTCCCTGCGCAGGAGGTCCTGCAAGAGAGATCACAGCACATGGAGCTGTTCTTGATGTGATGGCAATTTACCCTTCCTGCATCATTACAGTCCTGGCAAAGAAATCACTCTGGGTGTGAGTCTGTGCAACTGCAGAGTGCTGAGCTGCTGGGGGCATGCAGGGAGCCACAGTGCTTGTTCTGCCTGGTGGCTGTGCTGGGGCCTCTCTGCTGCCTGAAGCTTGGCTGTTATGCATGATCCCAAATCCTCATTAGGCCTCTGACAGAAAACACTATTTGAATCTTTCAGTTCCTGTTAAAAGCAAAAATAATACTAAGTAGCTCTTTGTTTTTTGTTGACAATGAAAAGTAACTTTGAGGACAGTGATTTTCATACCTAAGTTACCTGCAGCTACCTGCATGCTGTGGAATATGCAAAAAATAACTGGCACATTCAGTTCTGAAATTCCAGTGGAAGGTACCGTTCATTGGCTCCAAGAGGGAAGATTTCTGTTACTACTCAGCTTATGAAAAAAGCTGTACTTACAGACTTACATATGCTGTTAGCATGGCCTCACTGACAGCCAGGGCCACAGCTGTTCATCAAACCTGCAGTGTTTTCTGAATACAACACTAAGGTGGAAGTTCAGATGAAGAACAAGGTATTTAAAAGAACTTGTGTGACAATACTCATCACTGAGTTGTACAGAATAACCCCTCACTAACCCCAGAAGCTGTGCGGTGCTTTCCCCTTGTGCTGTGAGGATTAGAGCAGTAGCTGATTGCTGTGCTCAGGTGCACAGAACACCCCAGGAGCTCAGAGGAAAGAATGCACAGAGTGCCAGGAGCACACAAGGCCAGCAAGAATTAAGGAAACAAAGGGGTGGAGAGGGAGCTCACTCAAATCCACCAGCACAGCAGCAGCCAGAATTCATGGTTACCTTCTTGCAGCAGACAAGCTGGTGATCGAAGAGGAAGAACATCCTCTGTTGGCTCTTGGCTTGAGGGTGGGAGATTTTGGCTAATTCCCCAGAATAGATGAGTTCTGAGCTTCTGACTAGGACATCTTCTCCCTGGGAACAGCACAAAGAACAGGTTGGTCTCAGCCTCATCTGAAAGTGGGAGCCTGAATTCCTGCTGACAGAACTTGTGTGGGAATGAGAGAGAGCCTCTGTGCTGGAGGACAGTCCTTGGCACATCAGGGAGACACTGTGCCCTGGCACCTGGGGGGGTCGAAAACTGAATTTGATTAGAACAATAGTGTGTTACATTTTTTTTAAATCTCCTGTTCCATGGAGATTTAAAAAATCTTTAAATTTAAATAGTTTAAAATTTAAAAAATCCTGCTCAGGAAAGCTGCTCCATCCCAGACATAAAGGAGGCACATAAGCAGGGAGCTAAGAATTTAGCCTGACATCCTTGGGCAGAGAGACAGTGTGGGTTTATTCAGTCTAGGATTTAGAAAATCAGTATTTTGTTTCTTTTATTTAGCTATTTTTTTAATGAGTCCACAGAGAACCTTGGTTTCCTCTATGACTATGCCAGAAGTTGCCTTTCTGCAACAATAATCTGGCTTATTAAGAATTAAGGAGCAATTCTGCTCATCATGAAAGTTTGAAGTCACTCAAGATAAAATGGGGGGGCAAGAGAAAAATAATAAAATTCCACTAACCTACATGCTGATTTCATTCTGCAAGGAAAAACAGGGAAACAAGAATCCCAGGGCACGTGCAAAGGCAGCTGGTCTAGCTGGGTTATATGCCAGACCTGCTCAGCTGTACTAAAAGACTAAAATCAGAGAGCTGAGGTGGGGCTAGACACTGAGATACCACTGTGGAGAGAAGCTGCTGGAAGGGCAGAAGAGGAACAGTGTGGAATTCCTTGGGCAGGGAGTCCCCACCTCCCAGTCCTCGATGGAGCTCTGCCACTGGGCGATCTTGTCGATGTTCTCCAGGCGCCGCTTGCGCTCGTTGATGAGCCGAGCCACGTTCTTCATGGCGTTCAGAGCAGCCTCCACGTCCTTGAAATCCCTGGGGACACACACAGGCCTCAGGGTACTGTGACAGGTTTCGAAAAACCCCTTCTCCAGGCAAGCTTCAGCTACTTCTTGTTTTGCTGTTTTAGAATGTGATTTGGAGAACTGTTTAGTCGGCATGTGAATTGTTTTAATTTAATGACCAATCACAGCCAGCTGTGTTGGACTCTGAGGAGTCAGTCATGAACTTTCATGATCACTTTTTTGCTAGCTTTCTGTCTGTATCCTTTCTCTTTCTTTAGTAAATATAATATAATATAATATAATATAATATAATATAATATAATATAATATAATATAATATAATATAATATAATATAATATAATATAATATAATATAATATAATATAATATAATATAATATAATATAATATAATATAATATAATAATCAGCCTTCTGAGAACTTACTTGGAGTCAAATTCTCATCTCTCACCTCGCCCTAAAGCCCTCACAACACCCCAGCCTTATGCTTGGCAGAATGGCACTGGGGTGCTGTACCTGCACTCCAGAGGGGAGTGGCTGGCACAGAGCTGGGATGGAAGCAGGATTCCACCTGCAGTCTGTCCCAGCTGTTCTGTCCCTGCTCCTGTGGCAGCTTCTCAGACACTCCTTGGTTTTCAGGCACAGATTTGATGTTGATTAGAACAATAGCAAGTTACATTTTTAAAAATCTCCTTTTCCAGGTAGTCTGCTCAGGAAAGCTGCTCCATCCCAGACATCCCATCCCTTTATGTGTAAAGGAGGCACATAAGCAGGGAGCTAAGGATTTAGCCTGACATCCTTGGGCAGGGGGACAGTGTGGGTTTATTGAGTCTGGTAACAGATCTAGGCTGCCTCTGGGGAAGGGAAGGGGTAAGTAATCAAATGTAGCTACAGAGGTGTAAATAGGAATTGCTGGAAGAAGAACCTGCAGGTTCTCCTTTCCTTTCTGCAACATAACACAACTCATTGACAGTGCTGCTGTGCCATGCAGGGGCTGGTGTGTGGTGCAGAGGTGAAGCAGTCCAACACCAGTCAGCAATCCAACAGTGACTGGCTGTTTCGAACATGGGCTGATGGTTTATCTGGCAGGGCAGCAGAGGCTGAGCTGCTGATGGTTTATCTGGCAGGGCAGCACAGAGGCTGAGCTGCCCTCCCCCACACACCATCTGTGGCCACCAGCCACCTCTGCTGAGTTCAGAGCTGCTGGGAAGGGGCTGAGCTGCACAACTTGGCTCTAAGGCAGCTCCCAAACATCTCTGCACTGCCTTAGGCAAGACATGCTTAAAACCATTCTGGGAAACACCAGGGCTGCAATTAGGAAGGTGAAATTGAGTCAAACCATAATGGACCAAGATCAGCACTTTCATAGAGGTATTTCATGTTTTCAGGTACTTAATTAAGTGACAGTCACTTGATCCAAAGGCAGTGCCCTCACCCTCAATGTGAGTGATGGATTTGGAGGCTTTGGAGCTGGCACTGATGGGGCACCAGGTGTGCATGGCCTGGCTGCTGCAGGGCACAACTTCCCACTGGGGAAGTGCAGCTGTATGGGAATCTTGGCATGTATTCAACCAATGCTTTTGGAGGCACAGTTCTCAACACCACCACCAGAAACATGGACAGAAACCAGGACAAATACAAGCTCCAAAGTATGTATGTGCTGGTATCACTGGTACACAAGCCAAATAAAATAGAAAACGGCCATTATAAAGTGGACGATGTAACTCTTGATCTGTGACAGGAAAGCTGAGTGCTGCTGTAGTGGAAAGTTATGTAAATATACTTTTATAATGTACTGATAATAAGTTATAAATTATTATTATATTATATTATATTATATTATATTATATTATATTATATTATATTATATTATATTATATTAGTGTATTATATTAATAGAACATAAATAAGTATAATATTATTATAATACTGTGTTATATAAGTTCATAAGTATATTATAAGTTATATAATATATTATGTAAATATACTTTATAAAAATATATAATTTTTTTCCTGGTTTCTACAAGGTAACCTGTAAGAATGGTGCTGGCTGCAGTTAGCCACTGCTCTCCAGGCACAAAGTTATGTTTTAAGTTAATATTAATATTACATAAGTTATATTCTTATATAATATTATAAGTTATATTATATGTAACTTATAATATACTTATACTATGTAAATATATTTTCTAAAACATTATAAATATACTTTTTTTCCAGGTTTCTATGAGGTAACCTGTAAGAACTGAGCTGTATGCAGCTAGCCACTGCTCTCCATGCCCGAGCCCATTTCCATGGGAGCATCCTGGCTCCCTCCCCGCCCTCACCTGTGCTGGGGGTTGGTGTACTTGAGCAGCTCGGCCAGCTGCAGGGGGTATTTGCAGATTTTCTGCACGGGGGTGAGCAGGAAGCCGTCCAGGGAGATGTCGATCATCTTCTGCAGCAGGCGGCACGCCTCGAAGAAGTAAACGTACTTGTTGACCTTGGCCAGGCGCGACAGCTCCAGGCACGCGTTGGGGTGGTTGTTGCAGTACTCGGAGTAGATCTGAAACTCTGTTTGCTGCAGGGCACAGGGAGGGGTTACTGCCTTGTCCCTCAGGCCATGCCCTGCCACAGACTCTAACTGGAGCTGTTTGGTCATTTGTGCCCTCCCCAGGCTCTCAAACCCAGAGACTTAAAGCTGGGGGCTGGCAAAGTGTGCCACAGCTTCATCTGAGAGACCCAGACATTCCCACACACCCTGCTCTGGGCTCAGCTGAATGTGGGCTTTTACTGCCCACACCAGCCACAGCTGGTCCTTCACTGACCTCAAAATACCATTACTGTAAACTCAGGCCTGCTCGAGATTTTGGAGTCTTCCTCTATTTCCCTGAGGTACCAAGAGCTGGCAGGTATTTCATTGTTCAGAGGATAAGGTGCTTTGAAAATGCTCTTTCCACAGCCACAAGAGCTACAGGATATCTCTTTAGGAAGTGGTTGAGCAGGGCTGGGATAGAGGGTGGTGGCGTTTAGTGGATCTTTTTAAAGAAAGCTTCAGTTCTGTCTGACAAATTTCTAAATCCTCTGCCTCAATCCATGCTCAGCTACCCCTTTCCCATGAAGTCAAATTTACTTACATATTCCAAGAAGCATGAGCCAACCTCACTCAAATGTGGGTGGTCTTTGTTAAATTTCTTCTCTAGTGCTTTAACAAATTTCTTCTGGCACCTGTAGATGTCCTCAATATTCCCAAAGATTGTCTTCAGCTGTTCCTCTGTAAACATGTCGGCTCTCTTGCGGCACTGCTTAATGTAACCCTAGAAAACCAGATTGGAAACCTCCTGGGCATCTGCTCTGTGGCACAGAAAGCCTCAAGGACTGCACACCAGGTTCCTGCACTCCCTTCCTGCACATCTGGACCCATCTGTAACCATTATTTCCTCTCCTGTTACCCTGAACATGGTACAAATAGAAGCTGCCAGAGACTCATGGCAGCCCTGGGTGATGCTGCTGGAGTCACAGAGCTGCTTTATCCCCTGCTGAAACAGCCTCTGTGTGTCTGCAGTGGGGTGCTCTGACCTCAGAACTGGTAGATTCGGACCAGTTAAGTCCCGGTGTGGACCTGGTTTGGTGTCTGTGTGAGGAGCTGCCCAAATGCCTCCAGCAGAGGAGAGCTCTGAGGGGCAGAGGGACACTGCAGCAGGAGAGGCTTGTGTGTAAATGTGGGCTCTTTGCCCCAGCTGCCTCTGCTGGGAGCCACTTTTGTACCACTGCAGTGGAGAATTCTGTTCCTGCAAAAATTGCAAGTGCCTTCACTCCCCCAGTGTACAGGATGGATCTCTTTTACAAAAGGTGTCACAATATTCAGCATATTTGACAGTAAAAGATCCAATTGGCTGAGCATCCCCAGTTGTTTTGGTCAGAGCATGGCTTGCCTGAAGGCTGGAGTTGCTGGTTATATTACCCCAGAACATATATTAGAGAGGACAGCAGTGCTAGACATTTACTTTTCTCTGGCTTGGGAAATTCAATTAATTCCATTTAATCAGAGCACAAGTGAGTGCTCCAAATGCAGAGGCATTTGGGATTTTGCTGTAATGAATTGTCTTCTGTTTTCTGAGCATATACTGGCATTCAGCAGAACTGATGAAAATCCAGTCTCATTTTCAGCAAAGTTTCCAGCTCAGGGTCCCTTTCTGGGCAGCATGGGACACAGTCCATCATCCTTCAGAGAAATCTTTACAGTCCCTTCCCCCTTTATTCCTTACCTCACAAATGTCCTTCAGGTGCTTGATGTAGTCTCTCTCTGTGCTTATGATCTCATTGATGACGTTGGTCCTCATCTGGTCTTTGGTGGTCTGGCCCATGCCAAAGCGCCGGGAATCTTCCTCTCTGCCGCCCTCCACCTTCAGGGGATAATCCTCCATGGGCTCATCCTGGTTCACCCGCAGCTGCAGCACAAGAGGGTCACTGCTCCACTGCCCAACACCTCTGCCAGGGAAGGGCTGCAGGGCGGGCACACACTGGGCAAGGTGGCAGGAGGGGTGTGGATTGCCTGGAAACATTTCCCCTGGGAGCCTGAGGCCAGACAGTCACTGTGGGGAGGGGACATGGCTGCTGCTCCCACCCTGGCATGGCTGGGTTTGGGCAGGCTTTTCTAGTGCACAGAAACTACAGGAATGATATGGAGCCCTTCAGGAATAATGCATATAAAATCAGGACAGAAATGGTTTCTCAATTGAAATTTTCTTAAATATTTGAAGGAACACTTTGGGAGGGAGGGGAGAATCAGTAAACGGTTGGTGTTTCATCTACTTTATTGTTCTCACACTGTCGCTAACAGATGGCCCCTCGGTGTCTGCTTCCCGGGATTATTTAAAGAGAGTTCATTGCTAAAGCAGAAGCAGATCAGCTGCCCGTGGGCACCGAGGTGGGGGAGAAGGGCAGAGCCCGGCAGGGCGGTGTGGGACCCTCGGTGCCCCATCAGAGGGCAGCACAGCCCGGGAGCAGGGACACGGCGGCTGGAGGGCAGCGCTCTCTGCTCTGCACAGCCCCGAGCTGAGGGACACTGCCACAGCCCCGAGCTAAAGGGACACCGCCACAGTCCTGAGCTAAGGGACACCGCCACAGCCCCGAGCTAAGGGACACTGCCACAGCCCCGAGCTAAGGGACACAGACTGCAGCATTCCACTCTGGGCTTCCTTTTCTGGCACTGCTGAGTGCCCTGGGAATACTCTGCTCGTGACCCAAAGGATCCATCCCAGCACAGAGAAGGAGTTAAAGTTAGGAAGGTAAACCACACATAATTACAGGAATTTTCAGTACAGTGACACATAACTACTTTAAACTTTTAATGTCGTTTCTTTAGGCTCTATGACTTACCACTTGATACAAATACACCTACATATAAAACACAGTGCATACCCTCCCTTGCCAGCACAGGCACAGAGTACATTTACTCACAGCTGAAGTTAATTCACTCACTGCTGAAGCCCTGGTTCTCCTTTTCTGTGAGCAGGACATCGGCAGCCCTTAAACTCAGAGCTCGGCCTGAAACTCAGATGTGGAGTGACAGAGTCCTGCAGTCTGAGCCGAGCCTCCAGACACACCAGCCCTCCCTACAGTGAGCCTGAGCCAGGGGTAATTAGCAGGAAATCTTCAGCTGGATGCTTGAATAAGTGTTGTGATTCCTCTGTTAAAAGAATTTCTGACTGCATCCCTAATGCCTAGTGCTAGTCTGCTTTACTCTGACAAGTTTTTGCCAGCCAGGACAATTCAATTTAGCAATAACATGAAAGAAAAAAATTCTGTGTTTTCATTGCAAGAAAAAGCAGTGCTGAGGTCTTGGTAATCTTATTTGCAAAACATTCCACTGTTTGTGTTAATTATGCAGCCGAGACTATCCCCAGCAACCTGGAACAAAGCATTTCAAAACCGCCCCCCTTCTGCAAGGACGTTTGCTACAGACACCGGATGACCTCGCGTCACCTCCTTTCATGCTCCACCTGGTGTCGGGTCACTTGTGATCTGAAGTGACCTGGATAAAGAGCTAAAGGGCTGAGAATCTCTGCCCTCGGGCACCTCAGTGCCTTTGCAGGCTGAGGAGCCTGTCCCGAGCTGGGCAAGGCTGTCAGGCACCCACAGCGACAGGAGAAAGGGAAAAAGCCTTTCTCCTCCCAGCGGGACAGGAGCACAGCAGTCACCCCCTCCCGCACTCCTGCTTCCCCTGCTTGCCCTGATGTGCTTCAGAAAGCTCTGCTGGAGATGAAGCTCTGCAGGATGCTGGCTGCTCTGCACAGCTCCTCTGTGTGGGCTTTGAAGCTGGCACCAGGGGACAGCCTTGTCTCACATTGCCCCGGATCACTGCCCAGACATTTCTTGGGTTTTTCTCCTCCACTTCTTAGTGCCTGGCTGGCACTAAAAACAGCCCAGCAGCCTGAGGAGGTGCATGTGAGTGAGGTGGGTGCATCCTTTGGCCGTGGCACTGCACTGGCCCCCGCAGCAGCTGCAGAGAGGTGCCTTTGGTGCCACGCTCATCTCCATTGTCTAAGTGGGCACTGGAGTGAAGAATCCAGGGATCTGCATCAGGGATTCCTCCAGGAGAGCACTGCTTGCTGCTGGAAGTGGATGCCATGTGCTTGGGCACAAATCAGCCAGGGTACAGATGGGTAAGCAGGAGCAGGCTAACCAGCAAACAGGGCAGCTGCCCAGCTGGCACAGCTCAGCTCAGCTCTGCTCCAGTCTGGAGCTGAACCTTTTACCCTGATTTACTCATGTACAGGGACTTCTCCCCACTGGTGGGATGCAGTGCAGTGAAGCTGTGTGTATCTCTGTGAAAGCAGGGGATGGATCCATGTGGCAGCAAAACCAAAAGGGTTATTGATGGATTAAAAACAACAGAAGTGCCTCAGAATGGTCATGTAGAAATTAGAGCCTCTCCTCCCCCAAAAGGTGGTGGGATCAGCCCAGGAGGGCACCCTGTACTGTAGCCCCTTGTAGAGGAATACAAACAAGACATGCTGAACTATCCCTAGCAGTGAAAATCCTCTGGAGTCACCACAGAACATTAAACCTGGAGAAGGACAAACACGTGCTGCTCATGGAGAGGGCACAGAGAAAGATGAAGATCTTACCCGAACAAAGCTGGCTGGGAACCAGCCTTCACTGTCCAGAATCCTGCCCCACCACCACTCCTTGTTGGTGGCATCCATCACTTCGATGACATCTCCAGCCTTGAATCCCAGCTCCTGGTCATCCATGGTGACGTGGTCCCAGAGCGCCTCGGCGTACACCACGCTGCCATCGCTGATCAGCTGCGGGCACAGAGACACAGGGTCAGTCCCTCAGGGCAGCAGCACCCCGTGCCAGCCTGGCTGCAGCCCTGGCACAGCCCTGGTACCTTTGTGCCCCATGAGCAATGAGGAGTGGCTGCAAGGCTGGCAGCTGCTTTGCCCTCACTTGCATTTTTCTCCTTTCAGAATTATTGTGCCAGAGTGTGAACCTGCATACACAGAAGTTTCATTTTCTTTTAAAAAGAAAGAAAAATCAGTTCTTTATACAGAACTGATAATGGCCCATTGCATCTTGTGCCCCAAAGTCTGCTACTGATCCTTACAGTAATAGAGAATCAAGATGATCCACTTGAATCAAGACGCGTCAATTAAGTACAGAAGAATTATTTAAAAAATTAAGTCTCAAGGAAATTTTATAAGATGCTTAAATAATAAGAAGGTGTGGCAGGAAAAAAATCCCTAGTTTTAGCCCAAACTCATTTTCTGTATCAAATCAATACTATTCTTAAGGACTGAACTGATATTATCAACAGCATTTATTCAGAATCACTGGCACACACTATGTTTACCACCATAAAAACATAAATTCTGGTATTCCATCCTGCTGGCTTTGCCTCAGCCAGCAAACAAGGCTGTTTCCCATCAGTGAAAGAGGTTTTCAACTGTATTTCCTGGGGAAGCCTATGTTGCAAGAGGGACTCCTCTCTCCTTGATGAACTGAGAGTTGATTATCTGAAGGGTGGTGATGAATGAGAGTTGATTATCTGAGGGAGGGGGTAACTGGATTGAGAATCCAAGGTTCTGTTTCATGTGGTGGTGGAAATTGGGGGGGAGGAGGAGGAATGTTTTTGGAAGGTTTTCATTCTGAGTTCTGTGTGTTCCCTTTTTTCATATTGTAAGTTAATAAAGTTCTTTCTTTTATTCCTAAGTTGGAGCCTTGCTCTATTTCTGGTCACATCTCACAGCAGACACTGGGGAGAATATATTTTATACATGGGGGCACTGGCATTGCACCAGCATCAAACCATGACAAAGCCTCAGTGGTTCCTTGTTTGTGGAGGATGCTCTGGCGCTGCCAGGGCAGCTCTGCTTTGGAAAGCCTTCAAATAAAACCTTGAGCATCAATATTTAGAGACAGCAAAAACAGGGAGGTGGTGGAGTCCCCATCCCTGGGTGTGTTTAACAAAGCCTGGATGTGGCACTGGGTGCCAGGCTTTAGTTGAGCTGTTGGGCCTGGGCTGGATTTGATGATCTTGAAGGGCTCTCCCAACCTGGTCATCCTGTGATTCTGTGAAAAAGCATTCAGAGGCCTCGGAGCTACTCTGGAATGGGGAGCCTGAAGCCTGTAAGGTGGTTAAAGGTTGCACTTAAGATGCTCAAAATAAGACTCCTGGAGAGTTTGAAGCAATTATACTGAGGAACAACAGTTATTTACTGCATGGCCCATAGAGGCCCCACTTTAGGAAAAACAGGACCCCCAACAATTAAAAACTCAAACCCAAACCAAAGCCATGTGTCTGGAAGCTGCAAGGGGGCTCTGAGCTCAGTGATGCCTGGAGGCACTGCTGACCATCCCCACCCCAGCTGTGGCCAGGTAACACCTGGGGGTGCTCCAGGGGGGTCTCTGTCCCCTGCTGGCCACCACAGCAGCAGTGCCTGATGCCACTGGTTTATCAGGACAGTGTCCCTTGGATTTCCACAACTCCACTGCACACTCACAGAGCTCCCAGGGCCTGAGTGTGCCTGGGACTGCCTGAACACCAAGGATTTTCCCAAGAGGATGGAGTGCATACTGGAGTTCTGCCAAAAAGGACTTGGCCATTGTGGAGTGGCAGTGAAGGTCTGTTTTTCTCCAGGAAAATGGTGCAATGATGAATTATGGGAAGACAACAGGAGGACAGTATGGGAGGCACACAGGAGAAAGAAAGAAGCTGCAGGAAAGCCAGTGTCCCTGGTCGGTGTGACAGTGACACCACAGAACACAGGGCATGGCCACCCTTGGCCCTTGGCCCTGCTCAGTCACCCAGAGCTCTCCCCTGCTCTGGGTCACTGCTGCTGCCTCTCACAAAGGGGAGATGCACGTTGGGAAAGAACTCAGCACAATCATCAGCTGAGTAAATCAGAAGAGGGTTAACGAGGCATTTGAAAGCAAATTGAAATGCATTCTGCCTTTGGATAGCTAATGGCCCCTCACTGAACCAGAAACAGCTTAATGCAGTGTTTCCATTCTGACAGAAATAACAGTGTGATGGGGAAGGAGAGGGTGAGAGTTCCCACTTATCTACACAGCCAGTGTAGCCAGAGCTAGGTGGGATGCACTGATGCTGTAATTGTGAAAATAGGGGATGGATCCATGTGGCAGCAAAACCAAAAGGGTTATTGATGGATTAAAAACAACAGAAGTGCCTCAGATTGGTCATGTAGAAATTAGAGCCTCTCCTCCCCCAAAAGGTGGTGGGATCAGCCCAAGTGAGTGCATCCACACTAATGCACACAGGATGGGAAACAAACAGGAGGAGCCCAGGGCTATGGTGTGGAAGGAAAGCTGGGATACAGCTGCCACCACAGTGGGATGATTCTCACCACTGGAGCGCTGCAGGGTGGCCATAAACCCTCCAGAAGGAGCAGCCATGGAAGGAGAGGCAGTGGGGGAGCCCTGCATGTGAGGGAGTGTTTTGATGATGGTGATGGCAGGGCTGTGTCCCCCCCTCTGCTCTCTGGTGCCAGTGACAGGACCCACAGGAATGGCCTGGGGCCACGGCAGGGCAGGTTTGGGCTGGATATATCAGGAAAGGTTCTTTCCCTAGAGGGTGTGGGGCACTGAACAGCATCCCCAGGGTCACAGCCCAAGGCTGCCAGAGCTCCAGGAACATTTGGACAACACTGTCAGACACAGGGGGGAATTCCTGGGGTGTCTGTTCAGGGCCAGGAGTTGGACTCTGATGATCCTTGTGTGTCCCTTGCCACTCTGGTGCCCTGTGACACCACCCATTGACAGCCCTGCCCATGAGGGGACACGGGCAGGATACTCTGTGATTCTCTAAATATATTTATCCATGATATATTTATCCATGAGGGGATTGAGTGCACCCTCAGTAATTAAGATGTTTTAGCTCTTTAACATAAAGCAGTGACAACTAGAGTAGGGAAGAGAGTGGATGTAAAAGTGTGTTTTTCCAGACTTGGCTCTCAGATTTCAGCCCCAGAAGAGCAGCTGGGCCCTGGGTGAGAGCAGTGTAGCCACTCTCACAAAGGGCTCTGCTGCTGCTTTGGGCAATCCATTTGCTCTGGGACTGCAGGGAGTGACTGCACAGCACAAGCTGAGCCCCACAAGCAGCTCCTCCTGCTGCAGGGAGCTGTCACAGACACATTTTATGGAAAATCCTTTCCTTAGGATTTTTCCTCCTGAGAAGCTGGGAGGCCTCAGGAACAAAATGTAAACAATGGTTATCTGCTGCTGTGGAATGCAACAGGTGCATCTGTGATTGGTCTCATGTGGTTGTTTCTAATTAATGGCCAATCACAGTCAACTGCTTGGACTCTCTGGTCAGTCACAAGATTTTATTATCATTTCATTCCTTTCTATTCCTTGCTAGCGTTCTAATTGAATCCTTTCTTCTATTCTTTTAGTAGAGTTTTAGTATATAAATTTCTTTGATATAATATATATAATAAAATAATAAATCAGCCTTCTGAAACACGGAGTCAAGATTCTCATCTCTTCCCTCGTCCTGGGACTGTCACACCTTGGTAATGTGATGAGAAGAAAAGAGGCCAAGGCTGAGCCAGCATTCACAGCACAGAGGGCTGACACACCCAGCTCACAGAGCCACATGGTTCTGCTCAGGCACTGAAATCCACAGGGCTGGGTAGGGAATCCTCAGCTGCTGTTTTAATCCATCCATTAATATTAATACCTTGCATTTTCTCTATTCAACAACAGCCATACTGTGGATATGACTTAGAAAATACAGGAAGTCACAACTGTGGGATCACCAGCCTGGCACTGCCAGTTCTCAGGCAAAGGAGTAAATAAATTACACCTGAACAACAGGCCAGGATTTGTTTAACTGACAGCCAACACCATGTTTCTGGGGAGGAATGATCTATAAAGCATGAAATAAAGAGCAAACAAACATTTCAGTGTTCATGGGATGATCTCAATTAATGTAATAGAGCAGCACTGCACACACCTTCATGTGCTCAGGCTGCCAGGGCCCCCTCCCTGCCCAGCTCCTCCTGTGCTGGTGGCACCCCAGGGTGGGCAGGGCAGCCTGGGAGCTGAGCAGGGAGCAGGGATCGGGGAGCAGGGAGCTGAGCAGGGAGCTGAGCAGGGATCAGGGATCAGGGATCGGGGAGCAGGGAGCTGAGCAGGGAGCAGGGAGCAGGGATCAGAGAACAGGGATCAGAGATCAGAGAGCAGGGAGCAGGGAGCAGGAATCAGGGAGCAGGGAGCTGGGATCAGGGAGCAGGGAGCTGAGCAGGGAGCAGGGATCAGGGATCAGGGAGAAGGGAGCAGGGAGCTGAGCAGGGAGCGGGGAGCGGGGAGCTGAGCAGGGATCGGGGATCAGGGATCAGGGAGCAGGAGCAGGAATCAGGGAGCAGGGAGCTGAGCAGGGATCAGGGAGCTGAGCAGGGAACAGGGAGCAGGGAGCAGGGAGCAGGGAGCAGGGAGCAGGGAGCAGGGAACTGGGATCAGGGCTCTGCTCCTCTGTGCCCCAGCTCAGGCTGTGCCTTTCTCTGCTATTTCCCACTGTGTCCAGTCCAGCAGAAACACCCAGCACACCCAGGCCAAGAGCCCCTCTCCCAGAGCAGCTCAGGGCCAGGATTTCCTGTGCATTTCCATGGCACAGGAGCAGCCAGGGTGCCCCAGGGCACTGCAGCAAGGAGAGCTGCCCCAGCTGGGGGCACAGCACTGCCCCATCCTCCCCAGGGCAAGGTGCCACAGGGAAACAGGGGCAGGACTCTGCAGCAAGGGAGAGAAATCATTGAGAGAGGCTTCATAAAACCAGGCCTGCTCT